GGAGGAGTTGGCGCGGAATAGTGTTGAAGGCGGATGAGTAGTCGAGAAAAGCACATGCATATGCACGGCATCCCTTGTCTAAGTCTCTCAAAGCTGAATGAACAACTAAAGCAACAGCATCCAAGGTGCTACGCCTTGCCTTTTATGCAAATTGTAGAGGATCAGAAAGATTGACGGAGGAGTACTTAAGGGAATCTAATGCAACTCGCTCAGTAAGTTTCAGGAGTACAGAAGAGCAGGCAATAGGACGGAAAGATTTAGGAGCAAAAGTTAAAGATTTTTCAGGGATTGGAGTAATTCTTACTGTACGCCATGCAGTGTCCCTCGCATTTACATCAATGGTACCCCTGACACACACTCCCCGCGATGACGGCGACGAATATGAGCTCACACACTCCCGGCACCAATGAGAAGGCTTTTGACGCCTAGTTAATCACTACCCTCACAACCATCACCCATAGTACCAGCGATCTGTATTCGGTCCCAACCTGTCCCCATTGCGATCCCACATTCGCCTCAGGCATCTGCCTAGTCGGTCGTTTGCAAATTCATCTCACTACGACCGGCGCACCTGTGTTAGCAGCCCCTCACAAGCACTCGCAGAATCCGCCCTCACTCTCCACACTGTCCACGAACACGCATTCACCACCAAAGCCTATTCGGTCGCATACGTATCCACAGCAGTGGAATTCGTCGCAGTACACACATCTTGCACACCAAAAAACTCTCCAATCCGTAGCGCTATTGACTGCACATCCGCCAGCGCAACCATCGCTAACAACACAACAGCCCACACCGTCAGCGCACATGCCCGTCACGCATCGTCCTGACTGATCACTTGCGGATCGATCGTACAGAGACTGACGAACCAGTGCCTGAAGAATTAACATATATCCGCCGCCCTCTTCTCAATTACTCCCATCGTTCTCGCACATTCAGCCATCGCATGGGCTTATTCAGTTGCATACGCATTCATGAAATCCTGCAGTAAATCACTGCAGACATGACCACGACACAACACATTCCAGCATAAACACACGCACCACGCATGAATCCCTCTGATACCCCACAACGCAGGCATCTCCGATATAAGGGATGAGTGCATTATTCGACCCCATCTACATGTGGCCCCATGCTACATTTAATAGAGGGGCAGTTTACACCTTGTGCGAAATCCCAGCGCGTCCGTAAAGGGGGCTACGTCGTGTGTACGGCACGCGCAGACGAACTGTCATTGGCTTTGCAAGTCGCCTCTCCCGACCGACTGACTTAGGCAGTCGATCGGTAAGCGGAAAAAGGTTGAACTAGTGAGGTCGCCTCTCTGGTCGACATTCACTACAAACAATCTGACGAGCTTGAGACTATCATGGTGGGTTAGATGTCATGGCTTAGAGGAGTGCCAGCTAACGATTCAAGTCACCCCAGTGTGTTTGTGCGTTGAGTGACTGGCTTGTAAATTGAAAGTCAGACTGGATGGCTTTTTCTTGATGGCTCTCTCTTACGCATGCGAGATACGGACCACCCACCCCTTTTGTGTGCAACCCTGGTGCGTGCGTTTGGGGGCCAGATCGTGTATGTGGCACGTGTAGACGGGTTAGCTAGTCCTGCCAGTCACTGCGCCCACACCCGCATCAGACAACTGACCGGTTGGGACAGTGGACTGGTGCACATGGGTGGTAGGACAGAGAGAGAGAGAGAGAGAGGGAGAGAGAAAGTGAAGTCGACGGTCTCTGCGCATATTCCTCACTGGAGACAATCTGACGCTCTTGAATCTATCATGATGCGTTAAAGGCCTTGGGTTGGAAGACCTCCAACTGACAGGATAATTCTGACCTAGCAGTCAGTCCAATGTGTGTTTGTGTGACGTTTCCGACTGGTGGACTGAGTGTCAGGCTACAATTACGCCTTCTTAAAGTGGCTTCTATGGCACCTCCACCCAGTAGGATCCGAGCCAGCGTGTCAACAAGCGTAGGTGCGGATCTTTGCCGAGTCAGTCATCTCACCAGTTTTACGTTGTGGAGCAGAGTGTGTGATGGTATGCCCAGGTGTGGGTTTGCGGCGTTCCAGTCACCTTCGCATCCTCCCGTCTCCGGTCTTATTGATTCTGTCGTGACAGCGAGTCCAGATGGGGGAGGATGATAGGGTGCGGTGGACGCTAAGCAAGTCCACAGAAAGAAATCACATGCAAGTTGCTGTCCCTGGTCTTCCCCGGCTGTGGAGCATATGGTAGACATTGTCAGTTACGACGGTCGAGCCGTTAGTCTGTCGTATGCCACAATTAGATTTGTTCTAGCAGTCAGAGTGTATGGAAACATTCAGAAACACTTGCTCTATATAAAGGGCCTCTCTACTTTTCTTGTTGTTATGTTCACTGGCGAGAGTCGGCGTGCACTGCGTGATGCTCAAAGTCTACCGCAATCACAAGGGGTTAAGAACAATTCAGCTTTATTACTGAAGGTGTTAACTGTCATAATTATCTTCATCAAGCATGCTATCACTGATAAAGTGAAAACGATGAAGTGTCAAATCACGTCGGGCGGAGAAAAGGCATCGGTTTGTTTGCTTTGACCCACCACGGTGGACTTAGAGCTGGATTTTCCAAAAAACAACTTAAGTAATATCCCACTGTCAGAATAATTTAGTCGGTCTTATCCAGTAAAAACACAACTGCTCGTCAGTGAAGTGGGCCGCTTAAGTAACATCGTCCTAAAGAGATTGTATCATTCAGTAGGATGGGGCACAGTACCACCCGGCGTTTAGGTTAAGCGATTATGCTTCACTTTTGTGCGGCAGCCCAATACGACCAGAAAAGCCTGGGAAGCAGACTTTAGCAGCTCGAGGTAGCCACAGTGTCCCCCTCTATGGGTCGTCGGTGGGTGGTCTACCTAGGCCTTGTGTAGGCGGTTCTTCTCAGCAATCAGATTTCTGATGGCGGCGTCGTTGTCGTCGAACCAGTCCTGGTGTTGGCGGCGTGCGCGACCCAGGACGGCTAGTGCCGTCGACTGGACCGTGTCTCGCAGATGACACCAGCGGTTCTCCACGAAGGCATTCTCGGCAGCGCCGGCGGCGGCGGCGGCGTCGGCAGCGATTGGAAGGTTGTCTAGCAGTTGAGTTAGCTCATTGCTGAAATGGAGATGGTGAGCGGGCAAAGACAACAAGGCAATATTCAGCTTACCTGGGGGTCGCTTACCTTGTGGTCTCCTGCGAGGCTGCAGGCGAACACGCATCTTCGAGATGACGAGGCGATGGTCGGTCCACCCTTCCTTACCCGCGATTGCCTTTGTCACCAGCACGTCCCGCTGATCTCGCCTCCGGACGAGGACATAGTCCGGCAGGTGCCACTGACGCAACCGAGGATGCCTCCAGGTGGCCTTCTCTCGCTCCGGCTGACAGAAGAACGTGTTCGTCAGGATGAGGCGGTGTTCTGCGCAGGTGCGGAGAAGCAGCAGTCCGTTGCCGTTTGAGCTGCGGAGACCGTGGGGACCCAGAACTCCTCTTCAGGCAGTATAGTCTGTGCCGACGCGGGCGTTGAAGTCATCAAGGACAATCAACTTGTCCGCCTTCGACATAGTCGCCAAGAGGGCGTGCAGGTCCTCGTAGAATTTGTCTCTGACGGCGTCGGGGCTGGTCATCGGCGGAGCGTAGGCGCTGATGATGGTGGCGAATTTGCCCCCACCCCGGAGAGGCAGACGGAGCCTCATCAGGCGATCGTTGATGCCCTGCGGTAAACAGGGTAGTCGTCCCACGATGTTGTTCCGGATGGCGAAGTCGACACCCGCGTCTCGTCGCTCTGCCTTGGGTCGACCACTCCAGAAGAAGGTGTAGTCGGCACCCACCTCCTCCAGTTGGCCTTGCTCGGAGAATCGGGTCTCGCTGAGTGCGGCGATGTCCGCCTTGTAGCGCGCCAGTTCTCGTGCCACTAGAGACGTCCTCCGTTCCGGTCGGTTGGTCCTCGGATTGTCTAAAAGGGAACGAACATCCCAGGCCGCCAGACTGATCGGACTCATCAAGCCAGTCTGGCGGCGGGGAGTGGAGCGGCGGGAATGAGGGGGAGGAAAAGATGACGAAGGAGAGGAATAGGCAGAAGAATAGGCAGAGGAAGAGGAAGAAGAGGCAGGTTGATGAGGAGAGAGAGTACGGCTGTTTTTGTTGTAGTTTCGATTTTGATTGTTTCGACTGTGTCTTTTGCGTCTGCGACCACGGTGCGCCTTCAGACGACGTGGTTCGCCAGCAATCTTTAGGCCAGCTTTTCCAGGCCCCCCTCGAAGGCGAGCAGTGCCCCCCTGAGTAGGGCTGCTTTTAATGTGCCGGCGAGGCCGAACTTCACTGTGGGCCACGAATTTTGTTGGCAGTGGAAGAACGACTCGAATTTGCCAATGGCTTACGGCATCGCAGTAAGCCCGCGGTCTCCTACGGTGCATCAGATGGGCGCGTGCCGGCGATGCCGATTCGAAGATCCATCCCACCGGCTGACCAACGGCGTACCAGTCGGAGCCTCGTCACAACGGTGCCGACGCGGTATTCCATCCGAAGTACCGTCCAGCGGAGTCCGCAATACCCTGTGCACGCGGCACAACGCGCACCGAGAGTAACTGCCCTCACCTGGTTTAGCCCGCCGGTCGAGGCGGTTGCCCGGGGTGTGGCCGCTGAGCAGAGCCCAGCTACGTGGAACCACAGGTTAGAGTTTGGTGCCAACAAATGGACGCTAGGCGTAGTCTCCCCTGCAAGCAAGTGAGCGACCACTACGACCATCACCTGGACCCACCGCTGGACACCTCTACACCCCAAACACACACACAAACACACACACACACTCCCCCTCTTTCTTAGTCATCGTCGGAGTTCCCAAGAATTAACAAAGTTTCGTACGTTGCAACTCTGCTCGCGCTTGCCTTCTGCATACACCGTCGAGAATCGACGTGATGACAAATGTCTCTTGCAATTTAGCAGTCCCATGAGGTGCAAACAAAACCAGTCAAATTATCACGAGTGCCAGTTGGCATAATTATCTCTATGGACTCCTATCGACTCTTTTACGCACAAGGTCGTTGAAAACATAGCAAATATTATAGTTATGGAGTTTCACGCCACGTCTGACCTACAAGGCACTGGAATATGGGCTCAGAGGGTTACAGCTGGCCTTGGGCTAAATTCCGGGGTTGGAGGGAGGGTTGTTAGGGTAAGTGTTAGAGCTAAGGTTAAGGTTAAAGTTAGAACCCTCTTTATTTGGCGCCAACACACCTGTAGCATGGGGACTCCTTATTCCTGCGTCTAGCTGTATTAAGTAATAGTCCTGAATAAGACAGCATTATCAAGTTCGTTGGAAAACTGGGGAGCAAATTCGATGCCTCATTTGGACAAATTTAGTCGACGTTTGGTCCGGCAGCCCCACTTGAGTAATATCATACGGGCAGCTTTTTAAAAAAAATGTTGGTAGATGCAAATATACTGACTTTACAAAATATCACGTATTTGCATCTTCCTCACCATTTTAATCCAGCGAGTGACTGTGCCACAGGGGAGGAGTCCTTATACACCAGCCTCGGGTACTTCAGCTATCAGTTCACACACGCTTCCCTCCTCGTGGTTCGAGCCCTGTGGCGCTCTCTTTATTATCCTAATCCAGCCAGTGACCAAGTAGCTTGCTAATGGAATTGTTACGACGGTGTGGAATGCCGTCGATCCCACCTCAGTGGCCATGCACTGCGAATTACCACGCAGTTCCCTCCGTGGTCTTCCTGTTGTGATTACGCCCTCTTTTTTCTCTACATCCAGCGAGTGGCTGTGTCTGGGGGGGGGGAGTGTGTGTATAATCCTACCTTTACTCGCTTCCCTACGTGTACTTCGGGCTCTGCTTGGACTCTCTTTGCCCTTCTTATCTAGCAAGTGGTTAAGTTATGTATGTTAACTAAAGTTGTTTTAGTAAGCTAAACATATGGTAGCCATCAAGTGGGGCTGCAGAACCAAACCTCGCCAAAATGTAAATCCATGTTCTAAACTAACACAGTTTTCAGAATGTCACATCGCGCGCAAATGACTTTCGCTGTCCAAACCATCACCTTCAATTAGGCTTCCACACGCTAAATTTATTTATATTGGCAATGATGGCAGATAATTTGAGAAAGGGGGCTAGGGCTTGTTGGAACAGATTTACCGAACTGCTGACTTTTCGCAGAAGTTGGTGGGCGTTAAAATGCACAAAATCCAACAGAAGTGCAACTGGTGTGCCAAGCTAGTCGGCCTTGAGCTGGTCGACCTTCGCTTCTGTCCTTGACTCGGCCTATTGGTGGATGATTGGTGGGTTTGAGATCGGCATGCGCCATTACTCATCACCTCCATGGAGAGTGGTTGAGCCTCTGCGGGGGTTGTTCGGTCTGGTGGCTCTTTGTGACTTCATCGCGGGGGCAGCGTCTGTGCGTGTTTCCTTAAGTTCCGTGTGATCGTGCCTCCGTGTGCGTGACGGCATGTAACATTATTAGTTTCATGTAGGTCTAGATGCCTGTTGATTAACCTGACATCTGAACACCACGACCCTAGTATTAGTTTTTCTGTCCCTGAAGTACCCCGGTCAAAGTTGGTCGCTCTCTGAAGGTCAAAAGTATGGTTAACTCCTCCAATGTGCTGTGCTAGTTGAGAGTTCCTGTCTAGCTTCCAAGTTGCCAATTTGTGGTCACGCAGGTGGGTCTGCAATTTTCGTTCGATTCCCCCAACGCAGTTGCAGTCCCCATCATTGCAACTTACAGTACGTGACCTACCCCATGAAATCTGATAACGGAACCCGATGCAAGAATTTCTGGACGTCTTTAACATTGCGATTTTTGTTCGCTCATCCCCATCGGTGAAATCAAGCAAAATAAAGTTCCTCTTGTTGAACCCCATCTCATTTAACTGAAAAGAGTCAGGGATAACACGAAACACTGGAAAACTGTTTTGGAATACACACTCAGAATGTAGGCAGTTGACAAACCGTCATATATGAAATCACACTAATTATTAAACGATATTCAGATGTAAACTTTACTGAAACACTATAATTGGACGTTATTTGTAGTTTCATATTTAATACGTTTTTGGTATGCGAATGCGTTCTTTACATCTAAAAACGAAGTTTACTAAATTACAGCCATTTCTGACGTTTTCGGGGTATTGCGCTTTTCTAAAAAATCGGCATTTCTAAGCCACGCAACACTGCCTGTAATGGTAGCGGGCGTTCACCGATCGTTCTTACGGAACTCACTCGTTCCGTTGTGCCTTACGGGCTCTCCCTCGAGCCCAACCAGCAGCCGCACAGCGGCGTCCGATATAGGCAGAATGGTATTACCAACAAAGACAAGGGAGACTGAAATGGCCATTTCTGGCTTATTAGCCGTCGTCAGCCAGTCATGCCTAACCCCGAAGTGTGAAACACCAAAAGTAATACCACTCACGGAACTCACTCGTTCCGTAAGGCACAACGGAACGAGTGAGCTCCGTAAGAACGATCGGTGAGCGTCCCCTACCATTGTATATTCCCGATCGAAACCGACAGGGCAACGCGCTCGTGGCCCAGTGGTTAGAGGAGTGGACTTCTAACTAACAGATCGCTAGTTCGAGCCTCGGGTGTTCCACACTTGGGGGTTGGGTATGACTGGCTGACGACGGCTAATAAGCCAGACGTGGCCATTCCAGTCTCCCTTGTCTTTGTTGGTAATACCATTCTACTGCCTTTAATATTTCCCTAATGTTTTTAATTCTTTTAAACGTGTACTTAATTAACATAGACGTTGGACTCATGAAATGGTGTCGGTTTGTGAGTGATTGGCAACCATTCGTAAATTTCTACACCGTTCATGAGGTTCCGGTGAGTGGAAGCATAGCCCTTATGTTGCATCAAACGACGAAGGATGTCTGTCTGGAGTCGATGGGCTTTGCCGACCATGGCGGACTGTAGCAGTCGGAATCATTGGCTCCCTTCTAACTCACGTTCACAGACAAATCTGGGAGCTTAAATGCAGCTTTGCAGTCATTACTGGAATTCCCAAGGATTAACAAGGTTTCGTAATTTTTAACTCCGCTCACGTTTACTTCCTGCATAAGCAGTCGAGAAGCGACATGCAGTGAGCGATGACAAATGTCTCCTGTAAGTTAACGGGCTCATGAGGTGTAAACAAGACCAGTTAAATTAACATGAATGTCAGTTGACATAATTATCTAAATGAACCCTGGTCGAAAGCTGTTATGCGTATTGTCGCCGAAAACATAGAAAAATGTCATGCTTGTCATGCAAGCCGAGTAGGACGCGCCGTGTCGTGTAGCCAAGATTGAAGACGTCTTTGCCAATGCGTGACTGTGCAGATCTAGAGGGTTCGATGAGAGCTATCTTCTGCATCCAATTAGCAAAACTTATGAGATTTATGCTCAAAGGAACTGACGAAACGGCAGTCATCCGGAGAATTAATCTGAGCTGACACCTGTCCACTTGGGTCAAATTGACAAAGTTTTGCCACAACTTCTTCGAGTAGTATAACATTCGAAGAGTATTCTGACGGTCATACCATATGGTTTCAAGCTGTCGAAAGTGCATGATAGCGGTACCAGAAACAGTGACATTCTCACAGCGAGCTGTTGCGTCTGAATCAGGCCCCAGAAACCGTAGCTGATTGATCTCCGACATCTGCATTATGGACTGGATAAGCTTAAAGTTGGAATTTAAGGCTTTTTAAAGTTCCAAGACCATCCGGCCTATGAGCATGACAAGAGAATCGCCGATAGGCTGAGTGGCATAATTCGACTGTACGGCTTTGAATGCTAACATCTGTAAATTTTGGATAACTGCCTGAGCACTGAGTCCGGAATTAGGCGCGCCCAACGGAGTGACTTCAACTTACACATCATTCTCTGATGAGTCTTACTACAGAACTTCAGTTGATGAGTAAGCTGGGCATGGGATCGCCAATCTGTGATCGCCCCAGACTTCCCTCTGGGCAGTTCGGGGTCGTACGCGTGGACAGTGGAAAGTCGAGTACCGGAGTACTCAATTTCGCCCTACATTTTGACCTTCCATAGTAGGACAAATGGGGCTGCGCAACAAAGTATGGAAAAAATGGGAATGTTGTGTCTGTCTGGCGTTCCAAATAGCGGCATCCTTATCCAATCCGCACTGATCGGTACATCCTTTGCGCTGGTCGCCCGCTCCGGCGAGTCTGAGTCTTGTTCGGCCAATGCTGCCTGTGCGGGGGGGCGAGGGGGAGGGCAGAGCGCCCGTGCGTCTCCGTGTGACCCCGCTCTATTCTAGTTGCTGGTGTGTTGGCTACCCTCCCCACCGACTTCGATGCTGCATGCGTAGCGGATACCGCCGGTCGCGATATCTTGTGAATCCCTGGTACATCCTTGATCTTGCCATTTTCTAGGATCTGGCGCCTCGCCTTTAGACGGTAGTTCACGCCGTTTCAATCGCAGGTAGCGTTAACTGTGGGGACGTAGTGGCTTCCCGCGGATGCGGATTACCATTCAAGCAAGCACCCCCCCCCCCGAAACAGGTAGACGATGGGATACCGTATAGACGCATGACTGCGGAGGATATTGGTCAGCCGAACTACAGGTCTGATGGAAAGCTTGAACCCTCCATCTCAGGAAACCAGCTGTGGAGATGCGTACACAGGTCGCTAAAATTGAACGATCAATGCTGCTGATTGGAAAGTGAGACCGCCAGTGTACTGCCCCCCCTCCCCTTTCCGAAACGAACATTCCTTCCTCTTCTGAGTTTTGTTCTTCTCTGAGGGGCTCTTGTTACAACTAGTCAAGTAGTTGCCCCTGGTGGATATGATTGCTCTGGTTGATATCTGGGCCGCTCGGACGCACCGCTTCCCCAAGGACAGACGGCCTCGTAAAATCTGTCCCCTAATGAGCGATTTCAATATGCTCACTTCGGATCTTACAGTTCTTGTTCCACTCACAACCTGGTAGTTTTCTGATCGGTTAGATTACCTGGATGTGCCGAATTGATGTGAAATAATGAGTTGGTATCAGGAGTCTCCCATGACTTCGTTCCCACTCACCCAACTCCCCAGGTGACTCGCTCAGTTGCAAAGCGCCACGGTATCAGTCGCACAACTACCGTCCGTAAGGTCATCATATGCGATCATGCGATGGCTCCCCTATTTCCACAAATCATCCAAAGCCTACGCACCCCTCTGAACCCTCATTTTATTGAGCGACACATCTTAAGTCAACTTATAGGACTGTTCGAAGAAATGACTTATTATTTAGAGGCGAGCATTAACCAAGAGTTGGAGGAAGACTGGAAACGACGCCTGAAACTCGGACGTTATTGTGTAGCTTTCATTAAATTACGGACATTCGTGCGTGGTCTTGAACAACCCCAGGGTCTAACGCATCAGAATTCATCCGCAAGTATATCTCAGTCATTTGGTAGCCGTTCTATCACAATAACATGTCCCAATCATTGAAGACCTACTTTGAAAGAACTGGCGCTTCGAAGTAACTTCCGGGAGAGATTTCATGTTCTCCGTTTTTTTTTGTGGACGGCGAATGTTGGAAATGTACTTTCATACTTTCATAGGTGTTATTTCACATATGTACAGCTTAATGCAAATGGAACAAAATTCAACAAAATGAGGAGGTATTCGACACTTTTAGAAAGGAATCGTCTCAGGAGATAGACGAAGTACGGGAGAACTGACGGGCAGTCTGCTAATTCACTGCACGTCTACGAAGTTAGAAGTTCAACTCGCATACCCAGGAGGAGGAAGTAATTTTAAACTACTCGTACATTTATCATTGAAATGCTTGTGGTGATCGCCATGGCCATCGCGAAGGACATTCCGATCACAGCCAACAGAGGACAGTAGGTTGAATCCAACTTGGAGAAATAATATGCGATTGCAGCCAGACCGAAGATGGCGCCAAGCCAGGTCAGCCCCAGAGAGACTGGCATGATCCAGGACCTGGGGGTTACGCAGTCAACAATGACAGTTGCGAGGACGACGAGATTGATCAGGATGGCGCAAACAAGGAGCACTCCCACAGTCTGATAGTGCTTCTTCCGTGCTACAGTCAGGCAGGAGTTTAGCACGGAGCCACAGCGCCAGTTTTCCAGTCCTACTGCGAGAATGAGGAAAAGGAGGGAGAGCACGAGGCCAACAGCGAGGTTAATTTTGGTTTTATCCATTCTTCTAGTGTTCTCTGCCCGTTTGTGTGCTGAAAACCGATATGAAGATGGGAAATAGGAATGCTCGGAGAGGCAGCAACCCCGCGCCGCGCAGTTGCTGTGCCTACGGCAGCTCGTTAGACCTATTGTTTAGGGCGCCCTTTATAGTGCTACTCGTCTTGTCTAGTCGGCGCGTCCTGATTGGTCACATGCGCAAGACCTTATTGACAGCATCCTCCAATCAATTTGTGCTCGGACTCGCGCTCTCTCGCACACGCGCCTGAGCGTTGTTTTACAGGGATCTTTGCCTGCCGGGGCGTGAGCACATCGCACGCATTCTCCTCAGGCAAGTCCAGCCAAATTCGGCCGTACTGTGACCCGCTGTGACATGACGGAAAACTTTTTGTCACGGCACATTACGTCATTGTTTAGAGTCTCCCCGTCCCTAGATACTCCAGTTTAGAAATTGTTACTGCGCCTGTTGACCCTAGTATACCGTGCTAGCAGCATAAGTACTAGTTAAAAGCCCAGACACGCGTGTTTCGCCGATATTCTGATGCTGCATGGCACATCTGGAGGGATTCGGCTCATCAGGGGGTCCCCCAGCATGTTTCCTGGTATATATTCCAATTTAGAAATTGTTGCTTCGCTTATAGACCTTAGTATAAACTGATTTACTCAAAGTTAGCAGTTAACTTCTGAGGAAATTAAAGAGCAACAATGCTTAGACTGAAGTATCTACCAGAAAGCAGACTGGGAATGCTGGGGGACTCACTGATGAGCCGAACCCCTCTAAGCTGTACCATGCGGCGGCAGAATATCAGCTAACGACGCGTTTCTGAGTTTTTAGCTAGTATCTGTGCAACTAGTATGGTATCCTGCAGCCCAATAAATCCACATTTTCAAAGGCCACCTGACGGAATATATTTAGAATCAAGAAGTTCATTTTGTCTGCATAGCGATAGTTCGACCTTCGGTTCCGACGATGTCCACCGTGTGCTCTAATGCAGGGTGAGAGCAGGGACGGTGACTTGTGCGAAAATGTAGTTTATCGTGCTAGTATACTTGCACAGCATCTGCCACATTCTCTCCTCCTCCCCCTCCTCCTCCTCCTCCCCCTCCCCCTCCTCCTCCTCCTTCTCCTCCCCACCTGGACCCGGTGTCAAGCCTGAGTCAAGCAGCCCAGAGGCGGGGGTGGGCGCAGGTGGATGGCACGGCCAAGCCCGCTCCTTGGCGTTCCATTTCACACCCCTTGGTCCACACAGCAATGACCAAGTTTTCGACCAACAATAACAATGGGAGAGCGGTCCCAGTGTGCGCGATGACTACCGGCAACCGAGACCGCCACCGCACCCCGGAATGCTGGCATTTATTATAATTCCAGGACCTTCATGATATGGTTCATCATGAAGGTTGTTCTTCCTTAGTCAGCCGATAAGACTATAATGTCTTTGTTCATTTTTAATTTCCTGATTGTTTCTATTTCGGCAAGGAACATCTTATTAGCGTACTCACTCGTCGCCAACGGAGAAGTGACTTTTGACGCACAATTTGTTTAGTCTCATTGGCTACGGAAGTTAGTATTAACATGACCTGAATGGCACTTTCTATGATGCATAAAGGATGTGTTCACGGCAACAAGGCGTCGCCCATCTTCCGACAGCTACCATGCACACCAGGGTCACGCAGATGAGGCACCGGCTTAACGCGGGCGAGAAATCGGACACACTTTACCAAATTCCCTGCTTGCCATTATACAGGCCAAACGGGACGACGCCCTAGCGCGCGAATACTCGGGAATAACAGGCGGTTTGGAGAGGCAACCCATGGTCTGAAAACGCTACTCCCACGCTGGAGTAGGTTCATGAGTTAGACTTTTCGAGAAGGCAACAAGACGGGCCGAGAACTGCTGAAGGCGGGGGGGGGGGGGTCATTCACCCACGGCACCAACAGGAACATCAATTAAGCCCCGCGTTATCGTGCGCCACACCTACGCAACCAGGTGCCGCGGACCACTTCCTCGTCAAGGACCCACGACGCCATCACGCTGTGAGCCAGACTGTGCGAACTCGGCACAGTCACATAGCAGCTCACAACTCATACATTTATCACTATTCGTGAGAATTTCGGTTTCGCAGACTTTAGCTCATGACTGGATGCTGTCGAAGAAGCCAAGACTTGAGAGTGGGTGTTATTGAAGAAGGAGACACGATCGCTGGGACAAGAGCCTTATTAGCTTGACGATTCGGATTCCTGCTCGAAACCATCATCAGAGACAAAAGCAGACACGGGTCTGCTTTGATGCGAAAACAGTCCTTCTTCTTATGTCAGATCTTATTTCGTAGACGTACCTGCATTAGACAAGCCCCATTCTAGCCCCTAACCCTCACCGCAATCCCTAACCGTAACTCCTACCCCCTAACTCTAACCACTAACAAGTGCGGCTACGAAATAGGACCCTGCCTCTTCCTACGCCGATATCTATGCAAAGGATATTTTATCGGAGTCCGTTTGATTGAAACCTGTGCTATAAATTAAGCCAAGATTACCAAACAGCGTTTCTTTATGCACAACACACGTCAAGGACACACGTCGTCATCACACAAGGAGACCACTGTGAGGCAGGCGGCGGAAACTCGATACAGTCACACAGCAGCTCACGACCCACACATTGGAGTGACCGAGCGAGAGGCGGATGCCGGATCACGGGTTATGGAGGAAGGGGATGATGGTAACTTGAATTCAGATGGTCCAGCCGGTCAGAAGATCCGGTCTAAGAGGCCTTGCATTTCAGAGTGGACGGGATCGGGATGAACAGGCGTGCAGGACATGGGATAAGCAGCACAGGTGATTAAAAGTATAATTTTATTCGAGTATGCAAAAATAAAGAACTAATAAACGAGGCTTTGGAAGAACGAAAAATACAATGAAACGACTTTTCGGGAGGGGTCGGAGGTTATTGGTCGGCACGTGGCTTCGAAATCGTAACTCCTGCAAGGTAAACGGAAGAAGAGTGCCACTAGCGTCTGCTTTTGTCTCTGATTATGGGTTCGAACAGGAATCCGAAAAGTCAAGCTAATAAAGCTCTTGTCCTAGCGATCGTGTTTCCTTCGTCAAAACTGCTTCCTGGGACTCGTATCTTCACTTCTATTGGCAGTGGGCGTTAGTGCTCCCTTCTGCAACGTAGTTGTTTTGTCCGCAATCCTACTAGCTTTGGCAAAGGCCTGCAGACGTCACTTGCCGTAGCAATTGGACCCTCGGCCTCGGTGCCAGACGTTCAATAACTCCTCCTGCTCTCTATGGAACCGCAAGACCGAGTAACATGGGGAGGGGGCGGCTGACGACTTCCCAGATGTCCTCGACCTACGAAAGCGCTCGCCAGAACTAGCATCATGTGCTGTTTGGCTTCTTATCTGACCCGGTTAACGACGCTGCGGGAGTCGTCATCCTTCTTGTGCACCCGTCTAAGTTACTGTACTCCAACTACGATGTTTCGCGGTTCACTGAAGTTCGTCTCAGCGCACCGACGGAGCACCGTTAGGCAACTACGTTTGGGACTGATTGGGTGACTGTTGTTAAAATACAGTACCTACGTCGTATTTGCCCTTTTCCTGAACACTTGTCAAGAGATATTTGTGGCAGACAAGGGCCATGAGGAAGTTTGGTTGTGCGTGGAAGTTAACCGGAAAATTTATGGGTGAAAAGACCGTAACGTTACTTGATTCTCGTCTAAACTTGCATGCCCAATCACGCTAGCAACAGAGCTTCGAACTGCAATCAAGATTTCGAAAAGATCCAATATCCCAGCATGCATCCTTTTCGTTCACAAGAGGCCAAAACAAAATTTGGCGACACAACTTCAACTCCGCCGTCGAACAAGAAACAGTGAGAAAAGTAACGATTTATCCGGGGTAAAGCTGTTGTGTATGAAGCAGTAACTAAAAACAGGGGCACAACATGACCTCATCGAAACCGCCTAATATAGTAATTGTCTAGATAAAACTTCAAGTGACCCCAGAGACCAGTCAGGAGTTAAAATTCCTAAATTATTCCCTGCCTGTACTCTGTAAATTTGCTAACTGGTGCCGCTGCTGTGGGGCCCACTAACACCTATTATCAGCATCTTACTCATAAATGTTAAGTAGAAAGTTTAGTAGCGCCGCATAAAAATCAGCGGCTTATTCATGCATCGTAAATGGTCGCGCTTGTTACCATATCATCCTGATCGTGCGCAGCCATGTCGTTATCCGCTGAAATTTTGTCACTCGTGGTGGTTACTTGAGTTATCATGACTCAGTGATTTAGACCACCGACACTAATACGGTACAGGCTTGGCGGCCGTGGCTTCGGAAGGATATAGATATCCTTGAAGGTGTACAACGGCGTGCTACAAAGGCTGTTCATGGCCTCAAAAACTTCACGTACGAGCAGCGCCTGACGGCCTTGAACCTCTATCCCTTCCACTACAGGCAGGACAGAGGTGACCTCATAGCAACGTTCCAGTTGATAAAAGGACTTAATCTGGATGTCGACTGGGAAACGTTTTTTGAAATGGCACCCAAGTCCAATCTCAGACGACATTATTACCAGCTTAAAAAGGAACTGTGCCACACAAATCAACGTTCCTCCTTTTTCTCACAGAGGGTCATTCGCCAATGGAACTCTTTGCCGGAGTTTGTTGTTAATTGCCCTACCGTGAACGTGTTCAAGAGACAACTGGATACTCACCTGCTGAAAGGCAACCCGAACTGCCGAAGCCTGATCTAACGGATTATTGAAATGACTATAAATATACTACTAACATGATTTCAACAGATCCTATTTTTTGCGTCAAACCTAGTTCATATTGAAATTTTCACAGTCCGAATGCGGTGAACAAAGTTTTTCGCAATTATTTTGCGAATATAATACCCCTTTCACCTTTATGTTACATTATTAGATTTATGAATTCTCCCTACTAAAACTGCAAGCAAAAGTTTTGCAATTTAACTATTTTACTTTATACCTGTACCCTCTAAATGGAGTTTTCATGGCTTCTGTCGTTTACTCCAAATATACTGACTGATAATACTCAGGCAACGTGACGGTTTCACCGTCGTTTCTGATAATGCCCACCGTGTGACCCATAGCATGGAGGAGGCGAGGACGGTAAAGTGCACGTGGATTAGTTTGGATAGATACTGGGGTGTAGGGATGTCCAGTTGTGTGTCCATGTGGTGGTCGTAGTAGGTCGCTCACTTGTTTGCAGGCGTTGACTACGACTAGCCTCCATTAACTGGCACTCCACTCTCACAAGCAGTTCCCCGAAGCCAGGCTCTGTCTAGCGGCCATAAACCGGTAAACGTTTCAACTGGCAGACTAAACCGGGTAAACGTATCCGTGTGTGCATCTCCACACACGCTGATTCTGCTCCCATCTCACCTTCGCTGGCTGCTCCAATCACCGCATAGCCACCTCCCAGATGAGGCCCCGTCTGCAACCCCGCAGGAGGCCACAGGCACTCAGCAAGCTACTTACCCAGTGGCTGGGTGACCTGCCCCTTTCTACTCCTTCGCACCCAGTCTCCGCTCTTCTTCCCCGCCCTTGACTCTCTCTCGCTCTTTCTCTCAATACTCTCTACTTTACTTTGCTGTCTTACCACACGGTCTTACAGCGAGAGCGACAGCAATCACGTAGGCGGCCCAGGCCACTGGTCGTCCTCTCACCAAAGTTCGTGACCCATAAAGGAGGGCAGTATCCGTCTAAGGAGAGCTCTGCCTTCTCCGAGAGGAAAGGGGGCTATGGAAGGTGCCCCAAACAAAGCTGGGTTCACGAAATGGGCGCACAGACCGTGACTCGAAGACTGATTAACACGCAGTCGAAAATAAAACACAAGACAAAATACTTTTTCTCTTCCTCACCCCCTGTTCTTGAAAAAGGAGACACGATCGCTGGGGCAAGAGCTTTATCAGCCTGACGTTTCTGATTCCTGCTCGAATCAATCACCAGAGACAAAAGCAAATATGGGTGATTCACGCACAAGGGGCTGCAGTATTTATAGGATGCAGTCGCCATGCTACCGCACACCTATGAACATTCACGGCTCCCCCCTTCATCCAGGATAGTCGCACTTGGTGAGCTAATTGTTTGATGGCCGACATTCGCGTCGTTAATTGCTGCAATTTCATCTCGTGCGTTGGATGTTCATGCGATGATTGCTCGACCATCTGACGCACCAATTCTGGTGTTGGGACAAGTGTTCACATGTGCGCTCCCCTTCGCCCCACCCCACAGACAGCTAGGGTGAGTCCGCT